CTTAGACTGCATTTATCTACGTAAACTAGAAATAGAAAATGTGATAAGCAAAACAAGTTACCTCTGAAACATCCTGTTGTTAAACTGAAAAATATTCCCTATTAAATAAAAAACACCAGAGTTTTCCTAAATACTAATTATAACAGAATCTTAAAAATGTTTATACTCAAGTAAAATGGAGACAAAAATCAACAGAATTTCCATTTATGAAATTATTTGCAACTGAAAAACTACAACTATGTGTAGAAATTCTTTCATGGTCATTTAAAATTAACAAAAGCCATCTGACAAGATAATTTTTGGGAGTTAAATTTAAAATTCACTACAGGAATATCATAGACAAATAGAAAAAGCAATAAATAAGATAAACCCAGAGGTCACAAAGTTACAAATATACCAAATCATATTTGTTTCTTCCCTTTCTCTTCCCCATCGTAGCCGCTACCTATTAGTTACATCAATTTTATCTCCAAAAGAGGCACCTCCAAGTCACAGCTCAGCGATTGCTATCAGTCATCATCATTTTGCACCTGGATTACAGTATTGGTCCCAGGTCACTCCCTGCCTCAAACTCCTTTGGAGCCTACAGCACTTTAAACAAAATCCAATTCCTTACTCTAGCCACTATCTTCAAATTCTTTTTATATGGATTCCTCTTCTCTCCTTTAAGAACCAAGCCAGGCTAGGTGGCTCAGCCTGTAATCCCACGCCTTTGGGAGGCTGAGGTGAGTGGATTGCCTGAGCCCGTGGGTTCGAGACCTGCCTGGGCAACTTGGTGAGACCTCATCTCTACAATAAATCAAAAATCAGCTGGGCATGGTAGCTCGTGCCTGTAATTCCGCCTACTCGGAAGGCTGAGGGGGAAGGATCGCTGGAGCCCAGCAGGCGAGGCTGCGGTGGCCGGGAGCGGCCACTGCACTCCAGTCTGGGCAACAGAGTGAGACTCCAACTCAAAAAAAAAAAAAAGAACCATACTCCCAACACAAAGGTCTTTCTCACCTCAGGATATTTGCATAAGCCTTCCCCTAACCCTGGAAGGTTTTCACCCTGAGAAGTCTCTACTCCTCAAGTCTTAGTTTCATGCTTTCTCTAACCCCACTACCTCAGATAGGTCCCTTCTATTATATTCTCTCAGTCTAGGTTTATTTCCTTCATTGCATTTATTATTCTTACAAGTACTTTATTTTTCTACTTTTTAGTCTGTTAGCCTCCACTAACAAGTAAGTTCCACAATGAAGAAAGTATATCTGTCATCCATCTTTCCCAGTACCTACAATGGGTTATAATTATCTTATGCATATTTGAATGAAAACATAAAACAAAAAATTATGAAACATTCCAATAAAAAGGATCAACCTAGAACAATACAAGCACCAATGCTTAAATTCTGAAGAAGACACTATACTTATAAACTTAGCTATGTAAGATAAACAAATAAAATAAACTATTAGCCAGGAAGCATGAAACTCTGGGTTGAAAAGCTAGGTTGTTTTTTTTTTTTTTTTTTGAGTCGGAGTGTCACTCTGTCGCCCAGGCTGGAGTGTAGTGGCACACTCACGGCCACTTCAGTGTTGACCTGCTGGGCTCCAGCAACCCTTCCACCTCAGCCTTCCAAGTAGCTGAAATTACAGGTGCGCACTACCACATCCAGCTAATTTTTTCACTTATTGTAGAGACGAGGTCTCGTCAAGTCGTCTGGGCTAGTCTCGAACCCACAGGCTCAAGCAATCCACTCGCCTTGGCCTCCCAAAGTGCTGGGATTACAGGCTGAGCCATTGAGCTTTGACTAAAAGCTAGTTTTGATGCCTGAAAAGTTAAACCACTTAATTTATCCCATTTGGGATGTGAAGAATCACTACATGAGTTTTCCATCTGGCCAAGGCTGTAGGGGCCACTAGCTCTCTATAAAAGGCTAATAACATGTCAAATCTAAGACATAAAAGTCAGACTTGGGAATGACAATTCAAAGATTCAGTATAAAGTAAATCTAGTCAGGGCCTAACTCAATCAGCATTGTAATCTCCACAGATGCCAAGGAAAATGAAAAACTAAATAACAGCAACATGCCTGGAGGAGAGGGCATAAGGAAGGAGAAACAAAGCTGAACATGAGGCAGAGGGTCATAGAAAAATCCTATTATTTGTGAGGAGACTGAAACAACAGGTAGGATTTCAAATGGAGAGTGGGGTGTGGTTAGGTAGTCAATAAACAGGCAACAGCGTAGTTATGAGTCGGTAAGGAAGACTACTAGGGAATAATCGAGTACTAGTAGAGTACAGTGGCGAAGAACAAGAGAGGGCAGACGCAGACAGAAAACTGTGTTTGGTATCTGTGAAGACACAAGTATGGAAAACTTAGAGTTGATTTTGGGTAGTGGAAAGCAACATATTCCTTTTCCTCCCTCTAGAAGGGGATATCAAGCCATTAATTTACTTTTTGAAACGGCTGTATTGTTAGCACCTATTGTTGTCACCTCAATGTAAGCACAAGCCTTGTACAATACTGCATGACTTAATAAATGCCTGATATTAATTATATAATTCATTTCCACAAACGAGAGATTTACTTAATCACATTACAAATTTTACTAGAGTGGGTTTTAAGTTCTCTTCAACTCTTTACAATGGAAATATATTGTGTTTAAAACTGACTGCAACTACCAGTATCTGCTAGCAAATGCAGGTTTTACCAATCAGATTCTTGGTGTCCTGGTCTTTGTTTTACAGTATTTCATTTACAATCACTTTCTCTCCATTTTTAAAGTTCATTTAGTAGTTAATCTTATAGTTATTATACTGTCATGGATTTCTTTCCTATCTCTATCCTACAGAAGTAATACTTATGCATCCAGTTGGTGTCCTTAATAATAACAACTTTTAATATTTAAAGTTCAGAGCAAATCTATAAAGTCAGAAATATCTCACCCAAAAAAATCTGTATCAACACTCAGTCCTTTTAAAATAGATGTTTAAGAAATGTACTGGTGCCAGGCGCGGTGGCTCACACCTGTAATCCCAGCACTCTGGGAGGTGGAGGCAAGAGGACTGCCTAAGTCCAGGGGTTTGAAACCAGCCTGGGCAGCTTAGCAAGACCTCGTCTCTACAATAATAAAAAAATCAGCTGGATGTGGTGGCGCATGCCTATGGTTCCAGTTATTTGGAAGGCTCAAGCAAAAAGATCGCCTGAGCCTAGCAGGTTGAGTCTGTGGTGGCCATGAGTGTGCCACACTGCACTCCAGCCTGGGCAACAGAGTGAGACTCGTGGTTCAGCCTGTAATCCCGCGCCTTTGGGAGGCTGAGGTGAGTGGATTGCCTGAGCCCGCGGGTTCGAGACCCGCCTGGGCAGCGAGACCTCATCTCTACAATAAATCAAAAAATCAGCCAGGCATGGTAGCGCATGCCTGTAATTCCGGCTACTCGGAAGGTTGAGGCGGAAGGATCGCCCGAGCCCAGCAGGTCGAGGCTGCGGTGGCCGGGAGCGGCCACTGCACTCCAGTCTGGGTGACAGAGCGAGACTCCAACTCAAAAAAAAAATAAAAAAAAAATAAAAAAAAGAAACAATGCACTGGAGCCAGGTGTAGTGGCACACGCCTGTAAACCCAGCCCTTAGGGAGGCCAAGGCAGAAGAATTAGTTGAGCACAGGAGTTTGAGATCAGCCTGGGTAACAAAGTGAGACCCCCATCTCTAAAAATAAAAACTTTTTAAAAGGGGGGGAGGGGGGACTGGGTAGTTTGTTACTTTAAAATTCTAGGCAAATTTTCAACTCAAATTTGGCATAAGTTAAATAAAAGAAACCTCTGAGAAAATGTTAAGGCAAATTAAAACAAATAAACAAAAATAATGACTCTTACTTGGAAAAGAGAACGCCAGATGACCTGTCCCTTTGGGCTCCTAACTTTAAAACAGATATCAACTTCAGAGCATATCTGAAGTTGAACTAAGAATTAAGATAAGTTCTTTCCATTCAAAATTTTTCGTTAATAACATTCTAGCCTTTTTCCACTTTGGAAATTTACCAAATTGATTTATCATCCTCCTTGGAGATAAAACATAAAATAAATTTTCCAAAATATGTCCTCACTGAGGCCAATGCACCTTCTCTTTTCTTTATAATTAAAGGATTGTTAAAGAGGTAGTGCCTGGCCCGCTTCAAACTTGGCATGAGAGTATCAATATATAGTTCTGATATTTCAATGAAAGGTTTTTGTCTCTAAATGCTAAATCATTTTCTTCTTTTATTTTTTTGAGTTGTAGTCTCACTCTATTGCTCAGACTGGAGTGCAGTGGCCGCTCCCAGCCACCGCAGCCTCGACCTGCTGGGCTCTGGCGATCCTTCCGCCTCAGCCTTCCAAGTAGCTGAACTAAAGGCGCGCGCTACCACGCCCGGCTGATTTTTGATTTATTGTAGAGATGAGGTCTCGCCAAGTTGCCCAGGCGGGTCTCGAACCCGCGGGCTCAGGCAATCCACTCACCTCGGCCTCCCAAAGGGCGGGATTACAGGCTGAGCCACCGGGCCTGGCTTGCTAAATCATTTTCATTTGGTAACTGTTCCAAAGGCTGTAGTCCTGGAGATCTTAACCTGGAGTTCAGAGAGCTGCAGAAGTGCAAGAACCCTGAATGGTGTGCCCACTTGTGTGTACGTGCATTTTTCGGGGATAGGGGGAGGTGATTCCTTGGCTATCTTCAGATGTTCACAGAAGTCTACAGTCTAAAAAGTTTTTTTAAAAAAACCAAACTCCTGCATTAGTATTGCAGTCAGATAAATTAACGAAAGGCAAAAAGCGTACATTTTCACCCTGCAACCACCATAAAACATTTAAAATGCACCCTCTCATTCACTGACCCAGATCCTGACATTAGACTTCCGTTCGGAACGCCTTTTGGAGAATGTGGTTTAGAAGGGGGGAAAATGAGTTCAAACCCCTCACCCATACACACACATTCTTAGACCGAACCCTTTTCTCGACCTTCCTCCGCGGTCGGGGCAAACGCTCGCGTACCTGGGCGCGGGCTCGATAAGGGTGGTGGTGTCCAGGTAGTGGATCTTGTAAAACTCCAGCAGTGCCGGCAAATGGTCAAACTCCTGGTCCCCGATCTTAAAACGGCGGTTAGGCAGCGAATTGATGATGTAGTGGGAGACCCGCGAGTTCTCGGACACCGACAGCACATAGTCCCCGGGGCAGGTGGAAGAATCGCGGACGAGGAACATGCCGTGGCGCTGGCCCAGGAGCCGGGTCTGCGCCTCCTGGCGAGACACAGGCCCCATGTACCAGGCGGAGCGGTCTGAGGAGTCGAACCTGGCAGAGGACATGGTGTCGGAACGGCTTCTCTGTGGCGGGCCGGGGCGGCGGCTGCTCTCGCCTGCTCTGAAGGACTGTGTCCGGCAGACGGCTTTGGGGCCAACTAAGGGGCTCTCGGCACACCTCGAGGCGCGCTTAGAGGGCCAGGCCAGCACCTTCCTTTCGGGTCCGGGCTCGCAGCATCCTCCGCCGCCGCCCGCCTGCTCCGGGGCCGCCTCACGAAAAGAGTCGGCCCGGGGAACGCGGGGCAGAGTCGGGGAGTCGGGATGGGCAAAGCCAAGCTGCAGCGGAGGCCCCTCCGGGGTTCTCGAGCTGTTCGGTGTACTGGAGGTGACTCCTGGCCTGGAATGTGCCGGCTCCGCAGCCCCACAGGTCTTCACCGACCTCCGCCGTCACACGAAGCACCCAACTCCAAAGAGCGTCGCGCCTCCAGGGCAGTGTTGCCCAGCCCGTTCCCAATAGCCACAGCAACAAAATGGCGGCCGCGGGAGAAGCTGCCAGCCACCTCCCCCTCCGCTCAGCGCCCTCTGTCTGCGCACGCGCGGGACTCCGGCTCCAAGAGGCCGTCGGGGCCCTCCCGGTGACGTCGCACGGCGCAGCCAATTAGGAGCATGATCGCGACGGTCTGGGTGTGCGCCTCTCTCACCGGCTCCCGCGTTCCGGGAGGAGGCTGAGGAGGCGTTGGCGGTGGGCACTCCCTTCCTGGGCCGTGGTGCGCCGCCGGGGGCGCTGCCGCTGCCGGGTCTCCCAGAACTGGCAGGAAAACAGCTGGAGCTGAGAGGGAGTGGCGTTTTGAAACCTGCTTCTGAACAAAGCGTAACGTGCCGACCGAATCGCGGGCCAAGGTGAGGCGTGGCACTGAGGTGACCTGGCCGACCAGGGACCTGAGGGAGACTCAAAGGGCAGGCAGGCCCGGATGAGCGGAGGTGGCTCAGGAAGGGGGTGACCACCAGATAGACGACCGGATGACGCAGGTCCGAGGTGGCCTGATAGGCTAAGGGACCTCGAGTGGCTAGGCGACCCGACAGGAGGGTGTGTGTGTG